AGGCACTGAGTTCGATTCTCACCACCACATAAAAATAAAATAAAGATATTGTGTCCACCTAAAACCAAAAAATAAATATTTTTTAAAAAAATAATAATAATCGTCAATACAGTATGAGGACACAGATTCAAGCATCATACTRCCAGGAACTGGCTGTGCAAGCATGAGCACAATTCTTAACTTCTCTGTACGTGAGTTTTTTCATCTAAAACGAGGCTAATGATAGCACCCACTCCTTTAGGGCTGTTAAGAGAATTTTGAAAATTAATGTTCGTGAARTACTTAGAGTATCACCTGGTTTACAGTAGCCATTGTAAACAAAGTAACACATTTTCTTACTGTTTTTAAGTTAAATAAATTCAGATACTTAGAAATTAAATAAATGTGTGAACCCTGACATGTTCAGAGAAATGGGAAAAAGTATAAGCATGAAATAAAATCTGAAAGTGTTCACTTTTGTCAGTAAGTCCCTCTAAGCCAATAAAATGCATTAATATGTATTCTAGTTGCCTTTTGATTGTAGGATATAACTGTTTGGCTTCCATACCTGTGATATGATTTTGTAATCAATGGTCTTGTTTCAGATAATAAACAAATTGAATTCTGAATGGTTGAGTAACTTCTGATACAAAATCTAACCACCTAACAACTTCTAATCTGTGGGTATCAAATTGATATAAAGGGAAGTAACAATTTAGAAAATGCATGGGTACAAGATTAGTTTGCCTTGTTAAGGTGATTATTCAGTTCTTAGGAAGAAAGCCAATAAAAAATATTGTCTTACTTTTAAAGAGACACTTTCTAAGCACTAAAGTCAGGAATCAAACTTATGTGTTAGGAAATCCAGTGGCTTTTTAGTCATTGCAAGACATTTTAACTACTGATGTTTAAATTGATTTCAATATTAATTTATGTGAAATCTTTGAATATAGTATGTCTTATAGAAAGTAAAATATTTGTATGTTACCCTCCTATCATCTACTAAAATACAATTTCCTGAAACTACACTTCAATATGGGATTGTATRCAGGACTTAATAGCTGGTGGTTAAATGTTTAAAAAATAAAAATTTTCATAATGTTTTTATTTACAGGTATCTTCTTGGGGAAGGTCCAATGGACTTTTGTTATGTCAAGTAATAATATCAGTTGAGTAATGTGTTGATGAAGTGCAATGTTAGTTTTTCTTATTTCATAATGTTAATTCATTTAACTTTTAATAAGCATTTATTTAATGGTTACGTTGTGTGAGCTACAATGAAAATGTAAAAAAAAACGTTAACACTCTGGTGCAGTTAGGTTTATTTGGAATAATTACTAAATTATGCATTAAAATTTAGAAATAGAAATAAAAAAATCTCTTGGAGTTACTTACATTAACTTAGACTATAAGTCTTCTGTATTATAAGTTGTAGATTTATAACTGTTAGCCTGTATTCTAAGAGCATAACTTATACTACAAGTCTTCAGATATTTCCTCTTTAATATACTAAGCATTGCATATCAAGTCACCTTTTAAAAGACTTTAACATTGACTTTTCCAGAAACCTTTTCAAGAACTTAATTCATGTATTTTCCTGAAATTGTGAGAAAGTTTCATATTTCTTATAATAAAAAGAATATTGTCAAGAAATGACTTAAAATATTCTAATTTTTTGTCTACACACATCCTGTCATCTTTTTTAACAAATTTAAAAATACTGACAGATACAAATTACATATACAACATTTTGATAAAAGTATATATTGTAGAAAAATTAAATCATGTCAATTAACCTATTAATCACTCCATCTACCTATCATATTTGTTTTGCAAAAATGTTTAAAATCTAATCCTTTAGCAACTGTGAAATATACATTATTATTAACTATGATCACAATGCTGTTCAAGAGACAACTAAAACTTATTCCTCCTGTCTAAACTGAAACTTTATAGCTTTTTTCAAGTCATGTTATCTTAAATAAAATATATATATATATGTACATATATATATATATATATGATACACATACATTTTAAACTATATATTTAAACACAAGGTGACAAATTTCTAATTTTATTTATTATCCTAAAATGTACTTTGTTAAAATAGAATATGAATCTGAGTGCAAATGGCTTACTCAGAAAAATAAATCAACTTGATAAAAAATATTAAAATTGATTTGAGTATTTATATAAAAACCTAATACTTGGGTTGTTTTTATTTTTCTAGACAAAAAAATCAAAATTATTTAATAATATTTAAAATCATGTTTAAATTATTATTACTATATTAATAGCTCTATTTTCTATAGAAATATATTCCTAAAGAAGTGAATTTCCTTGGAATTATTCTATTTGCTTATGTTTTGTACTCATAAACAAAGTAAATTGACTGCTCAATTTTAATTTTCCATCTCCTTCTTTGCACTTGAGGAACGCATTCATATTTAGATTTTAAAAACTACAGGTGGATGAAAAGTAATAAATACAATGTCCTTCCAGTCCACTCTCTTCAATAAACCTGATGTAATCTCATAAACAATAGGTCAACACATTTATCCTCCTGTTGAATTACATGTAAGGTTGAGAAAACATTTTTATTTTATGCTGATGCTCTCATAAATGGGCTCATTTAATACTACTGAGTTGCAACTTAAGAGTTTTTTTCTACATTAAAGTTAAAGATCTGGATATTTACTTTTGCATTCTTTCAGTGACTTAAAGCCAGAATGATGTGATTAGTTCCTTAAATTAGGATGCTACAGTTACTAATAATGGAATAAAATCTAAATTATATTACTTTGAGATCAGCAATAGGTTCACATGAACTATTTTCTTTTCTGTATCTTCCTCTTTTAAAGGAAAATACAGTTTTCTTCCTACTGCAGAAGTATCAGATTCTTGCAGCATCCATGACACTTGTAAGCATTCAGTGGTCAGACACCACTACATATCCTTCAAATGATGTGGCCCAGTGAAGCTGGAAGGTGTCGTCATGGAGTCAGGCAGTCTGGTATCTCAGCCATCCACCAGGACAGAGCCAGCAGGCCCCAGCTGGTGTGCTGAATCCAGAGGAAGGTGGGAAATGGATTCTGCATTTTCAAAGTCAACTCTCCTAACAGTGAATTCTAGGACTTACTTACAGATAAAGTGCATTAAGGGCTCCAGAAATTATTTATTGGATCATATTTGTAAAGCTCATCTGCCCAAATTACTCTTAGAACAAGTTAAATTTTAATTTTATTATCCTTCTGGGTTTCTGAATTGATACCAAATTCTACATCTTTAAAATATATATAAAAAAAGTATGTTCAGGGTTATAATTGTGTGGTTTGAACTCTTGACTCTGTATGATATATGTTATATGAAGAATACTTATAGGTCATTTAAAAGTGAAAAAAAATAACAAAATGCTAATCACCAATGTGCATTGGTATGGTAACACTTGCCCATCACACTGAGCTTGCATTTTGATCTTAGACAAATGGAAAACTCTTTAAAAAAAAATAAAGACACATTTCATGTCTTATTTCCACTTGGACTCCTGTGCTCTATGTTCGAGTATAAGAGGGTTTGTATTCTTGCTTCTGCTATTGTCCTATTGTCATCTTTCGATACCACAAGACATTAACTCATGTCCAACAGATATTAGAAAAATCAACTTACAGGATTTAGTATAAATTCAGATTATCTCATGAGAAATCTTGCTCCTGTTGGCCTCACCTTAACACCAGTACTGCTAAACAACTGTGGAGAATATCCTCCATTTCTTAAAACTTTAGTTAGCTAGGTCTGGCAGAAATATCACAACAAATCCCAAACGATTCCACAAGGCTGCACACAGTGGACCCTATCCCTTACACAGCATTCTGTGTGGGAACATGCCATGACAGGTTTTCAGAACATGGACTTTCCTAAAGCAACACTTGGTGGTTTAGGCTGGAGTAGCCCTGCATCTGGAATCATGTTTTATCATGAGAAACTGAGAGGATACTGTTTCTCTTTTCTAAAAAGAGAAAGAAACCCTTTGCTAGGGCTCATTAAAAAGGGTTTTWAAATTGGAGCCAATAAAACAGGGCTGTCAATTCCTACAGTCTTTTCATCTCAGCAGCATTTAAAAAAGCCATTATTTCTCTCTCCCTTTTGACATGAACTCCTATTTGCAACACAGACATAGACACATTCTAAACAGCAACAAGAGCAGCACAACTCCCTAATTTCTTTGCTACTCATGTTCAGGCACACAGACCACCAAGAGCTACAAGATTCTGCTCCCTCCCACTCCCCAATTCCCAATTTGCAACTGTACTCCTCTTTGACCTGGAAGATACTAGGCAAGATTTCTTTTGGTTTGCTCTTCTTTAAAAGCGGTAAAGAAAGGTTTTCTGTAAGATACAAAAGTTTACATGGCCACATGATGCTAGCATTTCCAATAGCAACCCTAACACACAAAGCATTTTGAAGTTCTAATCTCCAAAGGGAGCAGACCTCAATCACAAAACACATAAAAGCCAACTTGAGTGCTTGATAGAAATATGAACGCTATCCTCTGCTGGCATGCCTAGGGCACTATTGCTGGCCCAAGACAAGACAGGAAAGAGGAATCGGAATCGAGACTTATCACAGAAACCTTTTCCTTGAGCAAGCCCATCTTGAGATTTGGATGGTAGAGGCTATGGTAGGGAGGCTTCCAAAACTGCACTTTTAACTGCCTGGGCCTTTGGCCCCACCTGCCTGTCAATTTCAATGTGAGTCCACAATTCTCACATATCCTGCTGTGGGGATATAGAGAATCTGGGCTTCTGAACGCTCAGGGATGCTGTTAGGCCAGTTGCCTATTGACCTTTCAGGGACTCTAAAATCAACTTTCTCTACACCTTCTGAATTGTTTGCGTTTGTTTTCAGCCTGTCGGAGCCTCCTGCCCAGCCCACCCTTCTCCCCCCTCCTCCCTGCCCCCTCCCCTCCCTCCGGCCTCTCGGGCTCCCCCCACCCCGCCCTCGTCTTTGTTGTCTCCTACCTGCTGGCCAGGCTCTGCCTGCAGTGCTGCCTGAAGGGCATCAGGTGGTAGTTCATGGCGTCCAGCAGCAGCTTCTGGCAGACGGGGTCGGTGCGCATGAAATCCACTGACTGGACCCGCTCCACCAGCTCCGGGGCCGGGATGAGTGCGAAGCGGAGGCGCTTCATGAGGTCGGGCGCGTACTGCATGCGGGTCTCGCGGTCGTGCTCCAGCCACAGCACGGACATCTGGAAGAGCGCCAGYTCCGACTCCACGGGGGGCGGCAGCGAGTCCAGCAGGGCGCGCATCTCCTCGAAGTTAAGCAGCAGCACATCTTCCACCAGGTACTTGTTGGCCAGCTTCTTGGTCTCCTCCAGGCCGTGCAGCGCKGCTATCTTACACACCTGCTTATAGTTCTGCACTGAGATCTGGTCGTTGAGGAACTGCACACAGAGCTTGGTGACCTGGGGGATGTGCAGGATCTTGCTGACCGACAGCACCTCCTCCACCGTGTCCAGGGAGAGGGTCACGTTGGCGGTATAGAGGTACTCGAGCACTAGACGCAGCCCGATGGAAGAGCAGCCCTGCAACACCAGGTTGTTGATGGCCCGGGGGCTGGTCAGCAGCTTGTCGTCGGGGGAGGAGGAAGGAGTCCCGGGCTCCTCCTGTGGCGGCGGTTGCTGCTGTTGTGGCGGCTGCTGCTGCTGCGGCTGCTGCTGCTGGTCCTTGGGGGCCCCCAGCCCGTCCTGACCGCCGACCCCTCCCCCGAGAGGGGGGTGGCTGGAGAAGAGCGATCGGAAGTACTGCGAGCAGGAGGCCAGCACGGCCTTGTGGCAGTGGAATTGCTGGCCCTGGGCCGTCAGGGTCACGTCGCAAAATAGCTGCTTCCTCCACAGCAGGTTGAGGCCGTGCAGCAGGTTGTCGCTGTGGCTGGGGTCGAAGGTAGAGGTCCTGTCCCCGGATCTGGACATGGCGAGCTGACTCGGCGCACCTGGCTTTAAACCCTCCTCCAACCTGGCAGACAGGGGTGGGGGATGGGAGGGGGAACAGGGTGGTAGAGGGATGGGGTGTGGTCGGGGTGGGGAATGGTGTGGAGGGGAGGGGAGGGCAAAGAACAACAATCAAGGCTCTGCTAGGTTCCCTCCCGGCGCGCTCCGGACCCTGACCCTAAGAGGAAGGTCTGAAGGCTCTAGATCCGTGAGCGCCACCCGAAGGGCCCTGTCTGGGGTCCGGGCGCTCTTTTGGCTCCTCGCTACCTTCCACACACTTCTTCCCTCACTTTCTTAAAACCACCCCGGCTCGGCAGTTGGCAGCGACAGCGATGGCACCAGCGACGGCAAAGTAGAGGCTGAGGCCGAGACGCCTCGTGGGCTCGTGTCCATGCCGGGCCAGATGAAGGGAAAGACYGGGATTGGGGAGTCAGGGGTGCCTCGAGAGAGCAGAAGAGACCGACGGCAGTGGTTCCAGGTCAACTCGAGCTCCAAGCTTTGCTTTTCGTAGTTGGCCCAGTTTGGGGGAGTAGGGTGGGAAAGGGGGCCAGACAGGCGTGCGGGTGGGCGATTCTTAGCTCTCCAAAAGCCGGGAACCCCTTCGATTATCCGTGCTGCCCTGAGAAACTCCTAGGCTAATAGTCTGAGGGAGGAGATAAAGCCCTTTCTTCTCCCGGGAAAGTGCAGCGGAGCGCGGTGAGGACCAGCTCAGTGGACTCGGAGAGGCGGGAGCTGTCCTTATCAATTCTAGCTCATTTCCCTCACCCCGGCCCTGCCCGCTTCCCTGCTTCGCAAACTGTTGGCTTCCCCGTCACCACTCAGTTTTGCTAATTTTCCAGAGACGCCTTTAAACCTGGCAGAAGAATCCTTCCAGCCCCCCACCCTTATCCCCCCCACACCCACCCCGCCTCCGGCACTTAAAAGCACGGAAGTTCAGACATCTATCTCCCCTTCCAGCGCGGGGCGGCACMGAGAAAGACGAGGGGGAAAGTGGGGCTACTAGGGTGGATTTAGAGCAAGAATCTGGAGGCCGGGAGGGACTCCTATGGACGGTTCTCCCTCCAGGGCACCAGGCACAGTCGCTTTAACTCCAGTAACTGTAAGAAGTTCAAGTTAGAAGGCAGGTGTTGGGGGAGGGGTGGGGGCTAGCCAATGTAGGGGGGGGGGGGCGCAGTCCGGTTCGAGGACTGCGTCCCACCCCGCACGGTTCTTGGAAGCCGCAGCTTCCTTCCCAAACGCCCGGGTGTAGCCCCCAGAGGTCCCCCATTTGGGCACCCCCACTCCCCCGACCCTGGAAGTACTTCTGTAAAAAGTCTGAGCTGCCCGCATCTAGGAGGAGGTGGGTAGGGTGGGGGAGGCAAGGCGAAATCGATACGCCCGGTCCTTAACCTGTAATTGCACCTTCCAGGGCTGAGCGGAAAGGGACCCTCTGCCCGCATCCCGCCCGCGCGCCCGCCGGGGAGAGCAGCCGCCGCCGTCGCCCGGCTCCGAGGGATCCCGCCGGACCTGGCCCTTCCACTGCGGCTCACTCTGCCCTGCCTGGCGCCAGTCCTGGATCGCCGGCTTCCCATTTCTACCGGACTGGGTTCCTCTCCACTCACTTTACCATCCCGTTCCAGGTGGACCCTAACCTCCCTCGCGCTCCCTCCCCCGGCAGCACCCCCACCCCCGCCCCCAAAGCTCTGGCTTTCCGGAAACCTCTCTCAGAGTCTCTCTCTGGAAGTGGCCCCGGTCATACCTCTCTCTCGCTCTCCCCGCTTCGTTGTCTCGCACCCCCCCCATCTTTTCCTATTCCCCTTCCTTCTTGTTCTCTCCCCCCCATTTGCTTATTCTTGCAATGAGAGTTTTATTCTTTATGAGCGTTTGCCACACACCTACCCCCCACCCCTCTGAAAGACTCTCCCTCCCGTCCCTCCCCCTTCCAACAACCCGAAAGACAACAAAAATACACACAAGGCAGACACAAGGCCAGAAACTTACCTGCTGTCAACCAGCTGCAAAGTCAAGGCTCACTTAAGCTCCCCCCCAAAAATCAATTGTCCTTCCTTTTTAAAGGTTTGCTCTCTCCTTGGGAGGGGGGAAAACACCTTCTGGTTCCCAACTCCAGGCAGTCACTCTTTACAATTTATTTTGTCGTACATCATTTGATCACCATGAATTAGCAACAGCAAGAAAATGTAGGAGAGGGAGAAAAGAGAGAAAGAGAGAGGGAGAGAGAGAGGAGAGAGAGAGAGAGAGAGAGGGAGAGAGAGAGGGAGCTGAGCTTTCTGCAAGAGAAGAAGAAGAAAAAATGTACGTGTGACAAATTATGCTACCAAGAAACAACACATCATTATCCTTGGGCCTGGGGCTCAGTGAGTCGTAACGAGAGTAATAGGAAATCCACGGTTGGGGAGAGAAACGGTCGTGCTTGGCCAGTAGAGAGAGACCATACAGGGGGATGGATGCTGGAGAGACTCGCAAAATTATGGCTCAAGGCTATTGTAAAAATTGTCGAGCGTAAATGACTGCGATTTCAAACATCTTTGGAAGAAAGAAGGGGAAAAAGCGAGCCCCCCCTCCCTCCCTCTCCCTCTCTCTCCCTCTCTCTTCTCTTCTCTCTATAAAGAACCGTCAAGTTTTAGTGCGCATTGCTAATTAGTCAATTTCTCTCTGCCTTCACAGGCTGGCGACTTCGCTGCTGAGCTGAAACTGCTAATTTCTGTGACCAGCTTTTTTCTTAGCTGTGATCTGGATGAATGAGTAGCTGTCTCACAGAGATGACAAAAATAAACTCTAATCCCCCCCAAAATTTCCACTACATCTTTCTCATGCATAGATTTATGATCTTCAAGCGCTCTGTGCAATATGCAAACTTTTTTTTGTGTCTGTATATATGCTGTTGTTTCCAGATTTTACTACATTGGTATGCTGCTTTTCCCTTCCACCCCCCGCCACCTCCCCACACACATTATGAAATGCAGAAACTGTCTGATCTCAAAGTATGCTTAGATGCCACTTTATCCGGTCTTGGTTTTGGGGGTTTGGGGATGACTTGGAGGACACTAGCCTTTGCCTAAGAGGTGAATGGCTGAATACATAAACTGGTGGCAGGGGAATCAAACTGGTAGAATAGAGGGTAGCCCTTTGCTTTATATTTATTTTCCCTTCACTATTCAAGCCTTATGATCTTGTTTGAAAACATGTTTTTTTTCTATCTTTTTGTCTGGTTAAACAACCACCTCTGAAGTTCTCTGTCAGCTCTTCAACAACAGATAAGGGTTCAGAAATCACATTTCTTTTTATAGGAAGATTATCATATTGTCAGACTTGTATTTCAATTAGGAATCTTTGATTTGCAGGAGCTAGAATCAAGTGCTAGGCAACCCAGCTACAATTTCACAAATGTAACCTTTCAACTTTGGAGTTCACCTGATACATAAGGGCAATGACATGGTGCTCATATTTCTGACCCTGCTTAGCATGCAAAATGAACCTCAGCATGTTTCTGGAATTCTAGCTGCACCAGAGATTCATGTGCATTTTGGTAGAGGACATGTTCTCCAGACTTATCTCATGATGTATTGCGCCCTTACATTTATAGCCCTGCATTTCGGTTGTCAATGGGGGTTGGAGGTGTCCAAGAAAGAAAAAGGAAGCAGAAAGAGAAAGGTATGCCCTTGAATAAAATGGACATGAAAGAAAGCTGGACATGAGTTAAATTGAGTTTTGCTTGCTATTAAATACATGACTATGATTCATTTTAATTTATATATGCTCTGATTAGTCTCCTTATTAAAATACACATCAGGGTACCCCCCCAAAGGCTGTCTTTTAACCTCCTCTTTTGATTTGTGAGAGATGGAAAGACACCTGCTTAAGGGAGGGGGGAGCAAACTGAAAATTCAGAGGCTCCAAAATAGGGAATTCCCCATCCAGAATGATAAATGTTAACTTGCATGTGGAATATTTACTCTTAAATAAATGAAGAAGGATGAAACAGAAGCATTTATACCTCACAAAGGCCCTTTTCGGCCAAGGTCCTAGATAATCTGAGTGCAAGACTTTTTTATTCAGATCCTGCTGAGACACTGCATTCTCATATTCATATTTATAACAGAAAAGCCCAAATACATAGTAAAATACAAAGGATTTGTTTGTTTGTTTAGGACAGGGGAAAGAAAGCGATCAGATTATTCAAATCCTCTGGTCCTACCATTTTATTTTATTTTTTTGAATTTCCATTATTTGGATCTTGAATAGGAAGATTGTGAGATTGTAAGATAGTGCCTTTTGGGGTTCTGTCATTAGCAATTAAAGCTAAGTATGTGGAGTGTCACCAAATTCTCATAGATGCAAAGTACTATTTTTATGTTATTTCTTTTCATGCTGATATTTATGAACTTCCAGTGAAGTATTTTGAACTAAACCCAAAGTTGAATATCAGTATTGATTACTTAAATTGTTCCAGCTTCCCATTTTATTATAAAGGGAGTTAAAGCACATTTTGTAGGCCTCAAAATATCTTAGAGTTGAATTTCTTTTCTTTCTTTTTTTATTGATAGAATATATTGGTCATTAATTATGATTACTGGGCTCTTTATTGCTTCCAAAAATATAAAAGCCATATTTCAAACTACCTGAAATTTTAATGCTTATTTAACAACTAGGTAGAAGGGGTGAAAAGCAGGGTTAGGGTCTTGCAATTCTAAAACAGGTGTTAAAATGAAGTGGAATGAGCTGTTTTCTTCTATATCTTAAAGTTATCCTATTTGACAATGCTTATAATTTCAGAGAAAGAAATTACAATTATGATTATTTTGTAAGCAATTAAAAAAAGAATATTGATAACAAAAAAATCCCTTTATAATCTGAGCATAAACTAGCATATATATCATGTAAATCTCACACCTCCAATATCTTACACTGGCTTTGACTGAAATTATTGCAGAACTCACAAATGATATGACACTATTTACAATAAATCCCGTTATGAAAGATTCAATTTGCAACAATCAGATGCTAGCTACTAAGCGATTGTAAGTATTTGAATTTTATCCTACTTCACTGTTCAACGTACAGAAATTGCATCTGTGTGTTTGATCTGTCCTGCTGAGCACTATCAGCAGCTCGCATCTCTGCCACTATTGTTTTTAAAATGGCAGGAAGGACGTGACTAGTCAAGAGCACTCAGCAGGATGGATTTCACATGGCAGAAGAGAAGCCAGAATTGTCTTTGAAAAAAATACATAATCGTGTAGTCATCTAATTCAAGCAGTCTTCATACTTCAACAGAATTATCAAAATTATTCATCAGTGAATCTGCATTTAAACTATGTACAGCAGAAAGATTCTGAAACTATCACCACTAAGCAGTCTACTAGTGCTGCCATTAGCTCCGAGCTGACTGGTTGGTCTTCAAGGTGGCAGAGATTCAGGCCTATCAGTGACTCTAGTTGCTCACAAGCAACTTTCTGAACTGAATGAACTAAAGATTATTCTTAGGGCAGATCTAGAAGTGTTTTACAGCCTAACCTGAAGGAGTAGCCACTCTAAAACTTTATTTTCCTCCCTCTTGACTTTCCAGGTTCAGATATATGAGCCATCAGCAAATTGTATGCATATTTGAACCTAGCCTCACCTGTGTTTTTTTGAGTTAGTAAATACTATTTCCTCATGGCCTGACCTTTAAGATTGCTAGGAGAAATTATTCCATTTTACAGATGGAAAAAAATTTGAGAAGGACCACACAGCTCCCTCAAACTTAGGCAAAACCTAGACAAAACCCAGACACTTTCTAGTTTTGAATTTTAAATGAGCAGTTCTGGCCAGAGATATCACAAAGTCATAAGCACTAAGAAGCTTATTGAAGAGTTAAAAACATAAAAATAACAACCAACAAAACAAGGAAAAGCGAAAAGCCAGAAATAAATAAAAACAAACCCCTGAATTAATAGTAAAAAAAAAATAAGAAACGGTGCTATTGGCTAACCATTACTCAAAAAACAATAGTTTAGTATTCCTCTAGGGTCCAGGACAAGGATTTGGGAGTCTATATCAGCTATTCAGATTCTCAAGAACCTAGTTCCAGCTTTTCTGGGTAGTCTGGTCTGTTAGCTGTACCTTGTGCTTCTGCTTAGGTTGTATTCTTATGAAGGGTTTTGGTTCTTTACACATAGAAATCCCAAGATTAAACTCAGATTTCTTTCTGTTATGAAATGTCTACAAGCAACTTCAAAAAGGATGACAATTGATTGTTTAGCTCCTTACTTGTATGGTGGACATTATTCTAAATCCTTCAGATTTTTTGTTTTCTTAATAAAATAAACATTAGTGCCTTGCCAATCCTATGAGAGTATAACAGGTTATCAAAATGGATCCATCTTTCCACCCTTCCTGATAAACACACCCCCATTACATTGTGGTTTTGCTGATTTTCTGTCAAGAGTAGAGTCTATTTCTCTACTCCTTAAACGTGAGCTGGCCTTATGACTTGCTTAGACCCAATGCTCCAGAAGTGACTGAGCCAATTCTAAGTCTAAGCCTCAAGAGGCCTTGTATGCTTCAACTCCCCCAGTTCAATTCTTTGGGAACCCCAACAGCTGCCATGTAAAGAAGCTCAGGCTAGCTTGGTGAAAGATGGGATACCACATAAACCAGATATTTCCCCGCTCACCTGGTAACTGAACTCTGATGCATGAATGAGCCCAGCTGAGACAGGAGACCCAGTAGAGTCAAAATTGATTATTCACAGAACCCTAAGCTAAATAAATGGCTGTTCTTTCAAGTCATTAGCTTTTGGGGGTGATTTGTTCCACAGTAAAATTAGCTGATATAGAAAGATACTATTATTATCATTTGACTAATGGATAAAGTGATGTACAAAGATATCAGATAAAAATTTCAGAATCATACAACTTGGAAACAAGGTAGAGCTGAGATTCAAACCAACACAATCTGCCTCCAGAAGTTAGTCATTCTACTACACTGTCCAGGGCCTTCCATACACTTTCATTCATTCATTCATTCATTCATTTGTTTGTTCATCAAGTCTACATTAAGTACTTATCATACACCAAACAACATGCTAAATATTGATGATACAATGTTGAATAAAATTGCATCTTTGTCCTCAAGGGGCTAATATTCTAGTACAGTAAATTAGGCATACCAACTGAATAATTACAATTGATAATTGCCCTAAAAAAGGCAATGT